ATGACAAGGTTCGCGCATTGATAACAAATTGCGAAGTGACACTTTTTTTTCAGTTTCCTACGTTACCATGATACCTTGCACAAAACAATGCGCGAAGTAAAATATATGAGATATTTATATTTCAACTTTATGGTCTTCAATCGAGCAAACATCCACGGAATCATTTATTTCTGAATGTTCAACAATATCTTTGTTTTATCTCTTGGAGCACACGAAAGAAAATTCCTATTATGTTCATGGAACATCGTGCGTACCTAAGCCAGTTCAACACTATTTTTTATATCGAGCTGAGCATATTTTGACTTCAGAACTATATTCTTTGACGTTTGTAGGAAAAATGTTGTTTGCAACTCGAGCGCAAAATTTGCTATCGCTCGGCTTCGCTCAACGCTCCGCCTCGCAAATGCAAAATTCGCTTGTCAAACAAAGTGACGCTTTTGATCCTATAATGCAAAAATCTACTATTATTCTTGATGAACTCTATTACATCCTTTTTAGTTCCTAGGAGCTGAAGTTCAACTTTAGCTCCTAGCAACATACCTATTTCTGTGTCTGTAGTAGAAACTTCAATCCAAGAGCTAATTTTGGTATCGAAATGGACGAAAAATAGTAGATTGTTTTATTAGGATCAAAAGTGACACTTTGTTTGACAAGCGAATTTTGCATTTGCGAGGCGGAGCGTTTAGCGAAGCCGAGCGAAAGCAAAATTTGCGAGTCGAACAAAGTCACTTTTGATCCGAATGAAACATGCTATTTTTTCTGCAACCGAAACAATTAACTCAAATAAATTAATAAATATGTGAACTTACCACCAATGCCGTGCCATATGCATGTATGCAATACAACAAATATTGACAAATAATCCGTGTAGTGAGAACATTCTACCTGCATCAACAGCAGGTTCATTCAATTTTCAAGGATGTTCGAATTGTAGTTTCAATATAAGTTCAATCACAGAGTGACATATTTGTGTATGGACCAGGTGCTCTAATAGCAAATACCGCGCCAGCTATATAGGAACAAGACTTGGAAAATGTTAGGTTAATTAGCATATCAACAATGATAATGGCGATTATTTACTCCTCTCTATGATCCAAGTTTTTCACTTAATAATCAAATTGAGCTAAACAATATCGTTGTTTGAGACAAAAAACTATTGCTTGCCGTGATTATTCAAAAACAAGTTATCCATCCCGAGAATAACGAATGTAATACAGATCAAGCAAGTATTTGAATCTTGAAGGCTTCCCTGATCAAACAAAAATACTTAGCTGAGATGTTTATAATTCCAATACTAAACTATAATAAGGTGTATTTATATCTCCAGCATGGGTATGAAATTCCAAATCTGCTGAAATCGGAAACAAATCAGGTATGCGTCTCAACCCAAATAACCAATCGTCACAATGTTGTTCATTCTTGATGACGTCCAGTACTTCCTTTTTAGTTCCTAGGAACTAAAATTCAACTTTAGCTCCTAGGAACTAAATATGTTGCCTAGCAACCTACCTATTTTTGTGTCAGTAATAGAAACGTCAATTTAAGAGCTAATTTTGGTATCAAAATGGACGACTTTTGTGTCGGTTGCAGAAAAACGTTATTTTTCCGATTTCCGGGTCACCTTTAGCTCGAAATGATCTGCTCAACGTGCCACGCGAGCGGCAAGGGCCGCTTCATCACCAAGATCCTTTCCTTCGGCATCCTCTGGGCGCTGATCATCATCTACACCCTGTACAAACAAAAAAGGACGACTTTTGAATCTATTGAAGAAAATAGTTATGTGTTTTACTAGGCAGAAAAGCACAAGATTTGAGGCATTAAATCTGCTTTTCTGCCGTGTGAAACATATATTTTTTTCTTCAAATTCGTCCAATTTCACGCAAACTCCAAAGAATCTATCATTTTGTGTTCATCCAACGTCAGTGTCAATTTTGATAACTAATGTGATTCGAATTATTTCCTGGAACGTTGCATAGCAACAAACTTTTTTTATCTATGCAGTGAAAGCACCGTTTTCCTGCCTGTAAAGTGTAATTAAAAAGCCACTTCCAATATCATTTGGAGAGAATAGTAGATTGTTTTATGAGGATCAAAAGTGACATTTTGTTTGACAAGCGAATTTTGCATTAGCGAGGCGGAGCCTTTAGCGAAGTCAAACAATGTCACTTTCGATCCGAATGAAACATGCTATTTTTTCTGCAACCGAAACAATTAAACCGAATAAATATGGGAGGTAACCACCAATGCTCTGCCATATGTATGCAATGCAACAAATCAAAATCAATGCAAAATCCTTGTGGTGAGAATATTCTACATGCATTAACAGCAGGTTTTTACAATTTTCAAGGATGTTCGAATCGTAGTTTATACAGGGTTGGCTTTATGTATGGAACAATGTCGCTAGAAGGAAAACGGCTTGAGATATCATTTTGAAAATTTGTAGGGATGAATTGGGCAAACTTTCGCAGATTTAGACAGAAAAAAAATTTTTTTCTGTTATAGTTTCTTGACACGTCCGCCATCTTGATTTTTTTTAAATGGCATCATGGGTCGTGTGACAAATCGTTAAAAAGATTATTTTTTTCTCTCTTCAATTGTCATCATATTCATTGGTTTTGATCATCGAATACTTGGAAAATATCAAGAAAATAAATGCATAAGTGAATATTATCTCTGTTGTGATTTTAATGAAAATAATGTTAAGTAGTTACTTACAAGTCGAAATTAACAAAAATTTGAATTATCTGATGAATTATTCAAAATGTTGCCCGTTAACTTCTAGGCAATAACGTATACGTTTTTCAAAACTTTGTACGGCGTTTTGTAACCAGTGAGCCGGAATGGAAGCAATCTCATCACTGATTCGTACTTTCAGATCGTCAACATTTTCAGGTCTATTTTCGTATACACGACTTTTGCAATGCCCCCATAAGAAAAAGTCCAGGGGGGATAAGTCAGGTGATCGTGCTGGCCATTCGATATTTCCTCGTCTACCAATCCAACGCCCAGGAAAAATCTGATTCAGGTAATTCCGAACTGCAATTGCGTAGTGCGGACTTGCACCATCCTGCTGGAACCAGATATGCTCATTTATTGTGCCAGGGTGATTGGCATTAGGAAAAAGCTCCAGCAGTCTTGGAACAATTCTTTGCCTTAACAGTTCTAGGTATCGTTCACCAGTAAGATTTCCCTCGATAAAAAATGGACCAATAATTTGGTGACCTATCATGCCACACCAGACCATAACTTTTTGTGGATACTGTGTGTGTACCTCTTCTATCCAATTTGGATTGGTATCTGAATAATAGCGGGAATTGTGTCAATTAACTTGTCCATTTAACATAAATGTAGCTTCATCGGAAAAAACAACGTTATTCACAAAATGTTCATAAGTTACGGCTTCCAGCATTCGCTCGCAAAATTCGGTGCGCCTATCAAAGTTATCTTCAGTTAACTCTTGCACTAAATGCACTTTGTATGGATGATATTTATGTTTCTTGAGTATTTTTCTAACAGAATATCGAGACATGTTATGATTAAGGGCAAGCTGTGAAGTAGATGTTCTTGGTTGATCCACTACATCAAGCACTATTGACAGAGAATTTTCGTCATTTGTTACGTTTCTTCTTCGACCTGTTTTATGACGGTCATTAACGTTTCCAATTTGTGAAAATCTCCCTAAAGTTTTTGTCACTGTTGATACACTAATCGGCGGCAGGTCGGGGTGTGTATCATTAAATAAATGGCATACCTCTTTCCGTGTGCGTCTTCGATCGCCGTAAACAATCATCATTAAAATTTCTATTCTTTCGGTTTCTGCAAGACGATTCATTGTTACAATAATAATGTTGTTGAGTGAATAACACACTGACACTTGCACTGACATCTGATTCTGAGAAGTTTGTTATTATTTTCACACCTGTCAAAGCGCATAGACCTCTAGATTTTGAAATCACAACAGAGATAATATTCACTTATGCATTTATTTTTCTTGATATTTTTCAAGTATTCGATGATCAAATTCGATAAATATTATGACAATTGAAAAGAGAAAAAAATAAGCTTTCAAACAATGTGTCACACGACCCATGTTGCCATTTAAAAAAAATCAAGATGGCGGACGTGTCAAGAAACTATAACAGAAAAATGAAATTTTTTTCTGTCTAAATCTGCGAAAGTTTGCCCAATTCATTCCTACAAATTTTCAAAATAATATCTCAAGCCTTTTTCCTTCTAGCGACATTGTTCCATACATAAAGCCAACCCTGTATATAGATACAACCACAGAGTGACATATCTGTGTATGGACCAGGTGCTCTAATGGCAAATACCGCGCCAGTGCCAGGTATAGGAACAAGATGTGGAAAATGTTAGGTTAGTGAGCATATCAACAATAATAATAGCGATTGATTATTCCCCTCCATACTACACTGTGTTTGACTTGATAATCAAATAGAGGTGAAGAACATCGTTGTTTGAGACAAAAAACCATTGCTTGCCGTGATGATTATTCAAAAATAAGTTATCCATCCCGAGAATAACGAATGAAATATAGATCAAGCAAGTATGTGAATCTTGAAGGCTTCCCTCATCAAAACAAAAATACTCAACTGGAATGTTTATAATTCCTATACTCAACTATGATAAGGTGTATTTATATCTCCAGCATGGGTATGAAATGCCAAATCTGCCGAAATCGGAAACAAATCAGGTATGCATCCCAACCCAAATAACCGCAACCGTAACAATGTTGTTTATTCTTGATGACGTCTAGTACATCCTTTTTAGTTCCTAGGAGCTAAAGTTCAACTCCAGCTCCTAGGAACTAAAGTTCAACTTTAGCTCCTAGGAACTAAATGTGTGCCTAGCAACATACCTATTTTTGTGTCAGTAATAGAGACGTCAATTCTAGAGCTAATTCTGGTATCATTATGGACGCCTTTTGAGTCGGTTGCAGAAAGACGTTATTTCTCCGATTTTCAGGTCACCTTCAGCTCGAAATGATCTGCTCAACGTGCCACGCGAGCGGCAAGGGCCGCTTCATCACCAAGATCCTCTCCTTCGGCATTCTCTGGGCGCTGATCATCTACACCCTGTACCAGTTCCGCACCATCGCCATCGACGTGCCGGTGCCACACCTCAACAGCCGGTTCCTGCTGCAGAAACGGCTGGACCCGCTCACGCGGCACGCGGACAGCACCACGGAGAGCTTGGATCTGGAGCCGTTCGTGGACAAGAGTCCGAGTTTGTCCGAGGACAATCTCATCGAGGACATCCAGAAGCGGATGCCGAGTCTGCCGATCGTTTACTGGAACAAGAATAAGAACAAGCCGATGGGGCTCAATAATACTTGTGCTAGGTGAGTCTGATCTGAAGGGTATAATGGGCGTGTTATCACTTTTAGTATACAGGGTGAGCCACGGTGGATGGCCTATTAGAAGTATCTGGAGATCGAATAGACAGAACATACTGAAAATTGGGATTCTTTGATAATTGAACATTTTCTATTCGTCTAAAATATTTTCATCGATACAGTGTTGCCACTTCTATCAAAAACAACTAGCAACTTCGTTATTTTAAATGGAGCACCCTGTATTTTATTGCATTTCTAGATTCTTCCTGAAGAGCTGATTTCATCAATGTATCACACTTGGGGTCTAGCAGGAATGATTACAGAGATATAGGGTGTTCAAAATCGATCGAAACGGCTTACATGTCCCTTTCTTAACTTTTTATTCACTTTCTACTGACATTTGATCAGAACAGATACAGGGTGATCAGAATTCTGAAGCTTGAGGCACCCTGTATTTTTCCCAATTAAATTCCAGTAGATAGTGAATCAAAAGTTAAGATAGGGACATGTAAGCCATTTTGATCGATAATGAATAGTTTCGACACAAAAAAATCCTAAAATTGATAAATCTCGATTTTGAACACCCTATATCTCTGTAATCATTCCTGCTAGACCCCAAGTGTGATAGATTGATGGAATCAACTCTTCAGGAAGAATCTAAAAATGCAATAAAATACAGGGTGTTCCATTCAAAATAACGAAATTGCTAGTTGTTTCTGATATAAGTGGCAACACTGTATCGATGAAAATATCTTAGACGGATAGAGAATGTTCAATTATCAAAGCATTCCAATTTTCAGAATGTTCTGTCTTTTCTGTTCTCCAGATGCTTCTAATAGGCCCTATAATACACAGTCAGTAGTTTTACAAGTAATCAATTCTATACAAGACAGACTTGGCAAAGGAAATTATGTAGTAGCTATTTTTATGGACCTAGAAAAAGCATTTGATACAGTTGACCACAATATTCACCTGAAAAACCTCAATTCAATGGGCATCAGAGGTATTGAAAACAACATCTTGAAAACATATAAACAAAGGAGTTCTCCGAGGATCAGTGTTGGGCCCAATCCTGTATCTTTTATACATTCAAAATATTTCAAAAATAAATGTAATAGGGAATTATGCCATATATGCAGATGACACAGTACTTTTATTTGAAAACAAAAACCCTGTAATTTCAGAAAACAACATAAATGAGGATTTGCTTCTCAGCATTCAGCACAATGTTGCGAAATCTCCAACATTTACATGATATTTTGTTATGGAGTATAAGAAATATTCATACATGCTGGTTACTCGAAAAAGTCAAGAATGAACTATAATATCATGGGTTCCTCCTTTTATTTTTTATTCAAGGACAGGACTCTTACCTCTTTTCGATAACTTGATTATAATTGGTGACTTGACAACCTTGCTTCGTGAGTGGGAATGGAAGATTATCTGACCAATAACGAAACAGCATACAGCTGACGTCACCATTTATTCGGCATTACGGCAATTAACTAGCCTTTAATGCCGAAACTGGCAATAGGTGTACATAATTTTGGAGCATGTCCTCTCCCTCGGCAAATTCCTAACTCAAACTCTTTCAACAGGTTTCCTTCGATGTTCGACCTCGAATTCAACAACCTATACTGGCAGACCTTGAAGAGCTCAAACGGCACTTTCCAGTTGTATGGAGCCTATCTGGATAAGAGGGCGAACAACAGACTGGGACCGACCGTGAGGATATTGGGCATGATCGACAGGATAGAGCCGACTGTCGTCACGTACTGCCAATTTTGGTTCGATGGAAAGAAAGACCCGGTGATTGGAAAAAGTTTCGAGTACAAGTATATTTGGTGAGTCTTGCACTGAGGAAAGTTGTGCTATTAGAGTTTTTGCTGAGATATTTCTTGCTCCATTACATGAAATGATATTACCGTTATACATCTTCGAATAGAAGCAGCACCTTGAAGTCCTATGATAGCAATAACGACTTTACTGAAAGTGAATTTCCTGCCAAAGAAACGTATACTGCTGTCGCTATCAGGCAGCCACTCTGAGTAGGATGATTTTTTTTATAATTGTCTAGCTGAACTACTACTAGTAGTAGTGCTTGTGGCTGCAAGGTTCATCATCGCATAGAACTGCACTCACTACCAATAATACAACTGTCAGTCTGCCACGAAAATAATATTTCACGAACCTACTTGGAGTTATTCAGCGCCTGCTTATCGTTATTCGATATTTTACTGATTTGTCCCCCTCTATATAAGTATTTGTCAGACATCTTGCTTGATCAATCATTCACAGTTGGGCTCTTGATGCAAACCCATGTACAGGACGACAATTCCGAAGACACGACAGTTACGAGTACTTCCCCTCTTGAATTCAATTCATTATTTGAAATCTGAATCTGTATTCAAACATAAAATGAAAACATTTTTAAACAAATGAAACAATCTTCTGTGTCCCTCTTAGTGCTTTCGTAGATCTGAGTGCTTCAGTTATTACCAGGATTGATGGAATGATGAAGGTGAGTTTTTTCGAGGTATTTCGACTGAAATTCAAATATTTTACATTCAACATTCTCAACTTTTTGGTTCCATGATACTTTGAAATTGTCAAATATGTTCCAGAGCTTCTCTATAGAATGTGGTCTAAAAACATATTGTGAGCAAAAATGTTCAGGTTATGGAATTATTTGAATGACTTTTCTGGTAATATTTTGTTTTCCTGTACGCATCTGTAATAACTTGCCTAGTTTTCGGAATACAATGGTTTCAGAAAGTTTCAGAAAAATTCTATTTTTCATTAATTACTCAGAAACCTTTTGTTTTTCCTGGGGGTGCATGAATCGATTTATCTATTGAATTTCGAAGATCATTGGTCTGAAATTTTCTTTGGGAATCAATAAATTGCTATTCATACCAAGTATCAGGGTGGAAATTATGAGAAGTGAAATTGGATTCCAGTCAGAATTTCACCTTTCTTGATGACAACAATCCTAAAAAATAACTGAATAACTACAACAAGTAGGTCATGCAACTATCTATATGATTACCCATCAAGAGTAGCAAAGTTCCCTACCTACGATTATAACATTGCCCTACTCCCATTATTAGATGCACTCACTAGCGGTAGCAAAGTCAGATACCTACTACAGAAACATCGTCTAAAAGCAATATACAGAGGCCGCAAGGTTCTATATCTAATAATCGCAGGTGGGTTATAATCAGCAAAGTCGACTTTATAATCACAGGTGATAACTCGCTTGTCCCCAATGCTATTAGAGTTTCTTGCTGGGGTAATTCGATTTCTGACTATGGTTAATAGGAATTTTCCTTACTTTAGCTCGCTTGGGAAGAGATAATACATATTGGGGCCTTGGAGGCTTTACTTGATCAGACAATAATCAACCCAAATGGAATGGAACCGTAGAATATTATTTTTCAAACATTTTTACATACAAAAGACTTCCATAGATGAAAACTCAAAGTCATCTCCACAACTTTTTGGATATGACTTCGGGTTTTTATCTATGAACTACACCACTCCACTTTAAGTTACCATGAACATCTTCCAAAGATCAAAAGGGGTCTTGTTAGAATTCCGTAAAACAATTTTTCAGCAATTGTTTGTTCTTGGAAAAAATGGAGCTTCATGATTAAAATCTCGCATTCTCCGGAAGTTTTGTTTCATTTGAGTTGAATGTAATGGAAAATGACAAAATTTGATAAATCTATTTCAGTTTTTTGAAACAACTTATTTTGACCTCCTCTACACGTGGCAGCTCTGTGTCCCAGCAATTTTGGGACACCCTGTATATATGTGATATACAGGATGGGTCACTTTTTTGTAGCAGGACTTTAACAGCTTAGAGGAGACATGAAAATCTTCTATAAACATATACACTGTGTCCATAAAGTCACCCCCCCCCTGGTTAACTTTAGAACGGATGGGATTTTTTTTTTCAATTTTTTCCTGTTCCAATGGTAGTTTCAGTGCTACATATTGTTCCAAAAAAAAATATGTATCCCTCAAAATGGCGCCTGGGCGCCATTTTGGAAGATTTTTTTAAATGGAGTGGGGGGTCGAAAGATACCTCGATTGAAAGGTCTTTCGATTCTCTATACAACCTCAGAATCTCAGACGAAAATATTCATCCAAAACAAAATGGCGGATGATAACGTTTGAAATCTCACACCAGAATTCTTTCGACTAGATGGCTATCAAAGTGCTCGCATGTGATCTTCAAATCTCTATTGGCGTATAGAAGAGTTCTCTATCTATGAAGATATCAATAGGAAGCCATTTTGAAGAGAATAACATAGTAGTCACGTGGAATAAACATTGTTCTTTATTTTGAATAAATATTTCTAAAACTTTGCAGAATTTGGAAAGACAATCGAGCAAAGGTAATAATTGACTACCATGTTATTCTCTTCAAAATGGCTTCCTATTGATATCTTCATAGATAGAGAACTCTTCTATTCGCCAATAGAGATTTGAAGATCACATGCGAGCACTTTAATAGCCATCTAGTCGAAAGAATTCTGATGTGAGATTTCAAACGTTATCATCCGCCATTTTGTTTTGGATGAATATTTTCGTCTGAGATTCTGAGGTTGTATAGAGAATCGAAAGACCTTTCAATCGAGGTATCTTTCGACCCCCGACTCCATTTAAAAAAATCTTCCAAAATGGCGCCCAGGCGCCATTTTCGAGGATACATAATTTTTTTTTGGAACAATATGTAGCACTGAAACTACCATTGAAGCAAAAAAAAATTGAAAAAAAAAATCCCATCCGTTCAATAGTTAACCAGGGGGGGGGTGACTTTATGGACACAGTGTATGCGTGGGAGCTTCGTTTCCGATATACATGGTTTCAAAGTTTGGCACGACCCCAAAAGTGTATCATCCTGTAGATATTCAAGAACGCTCGACAGTCCCAAATGCGTATTCAAAGTGTACCAGGTGTACCAAATTTCAATTCATTATTTCGAAAAATGTAGGAGAAAACTTGAAAAATACAAGAAAAATCTCAAACTTTGAAATTTCGTATATCGGAAAGGAAGCCCTCACGCATATATGTTCACATGAGGTTTTCATCTTAAAAAAATGTGTTCTTCAAGCTGTTCAAATCCTGCTACAAAATACGGAACCGAAAAATAAAGTTTCATCACAAGTAAATTATTTTTGGCATTCATCTTGAAACCCAAACAGTTTTCGAAGAAAAAAAAAAGGAAGCAAAATGTATCCAAATTGAAGGAAGAATCTAAATTGATGATTCATAGAAAACAGAGGCGGTACGCAAAAAAGTTCGAGAGGGTTAACTCGGGTACGACCTTCATAAGTGTATCATCCTGTAGGTATTCAAGAACGCTCGATAGCCCCAAATATTGCGTTTCCGAAGTGTGATAGGTGTACCAAATTTTATTTCATTATTTTGGAAATTGTAGGAGGAAATTGTAAAAACACGAAAAAAATCTTAAATTTTGAAACCCATATCGGAAACAAATTTTCATCTCAAAAAAATGCCTTCTCTCAGCAGTTAAAGTCCTGCTATAAAAAAATTACTCAACCTGTATATCCAGGAAAAAATTACTCACTTTTTTCGCACGGGGAAAAAGTAATTTTTGAAAAGTGACATTCATTTCCATTATTTCCACAAGACTACACGAAGAAAGCAGCAATAAAACATTCACTAAATTAAATGATGACAGCAATATTCAACAATCGTCAAAATATCAACAAATGCCATCCTTACCATGAGAAGAAAAATGAAAAGAATGCTAGAAGCAGTAAACCGCTTTTTAAAATCGATTTTTCATTATAATAAGATATTTTTTTAGGGCAGCATTCAACCCTCGGGCCAAAGGTCCTCGGGTGAATATGTATATTGTTAGATCTTTGGCCAATTCTTTGATTTTTATCTGTAATGAAATATGGGTCCAAGAAGAAAATTGAAAATACATATCATGCAGTGGTTTTTCATTAACTTCACGAAAAATAAAAATTAGAATGTTTGTAAAGGTTGTGACACTGGCATTCAAAAATGTCTAATTATAGTTTTTTTCCCCGAAGGTACAAGAAATGGGGCAACTACAAGCAAGGCATCTACCAGCCATACCTGATTGCGTGCGTGATTCCGCAAAAATTCAGGGACCATATTCCCCAGTCGATTTCCCTGGTGGAAAAGCAGTGCGACAACGCAACGAACAACCTCAGGATCATCTACGAGAGGCCGATCGAGAAAAAGGATTTCGCCGTGTGCGTCAAAGGCCTCGATTTCCTGCACGAAGATTTGTCGGTGAGGCTCGTCGAATGGATCGAGCTGCTCAACTTGCTGGGGGCCGATAAGGTGTTCTTCTATGAGTTGCAGGTGCATCCGAACATCAGCAAAGTTTTGCGGCACTACGAACAAGAGGGGAAGGTGAGTGCATTTTCAATCCCAAAAATAATCTGAACCCAATAAATTGCCTAGCTCATTCTGAGACCGGCGACGTGTTATTTTCAATCGCGAATATAATTATTGTAGTTTTTTGTGGTTATAAAGTGAGATACCTCTCTCACAAATGCCAACATGTCTCTATTGATAATGAAACGTCAAGTGCCGCAGGGGTCCATTTTGGGCCCGTTACTTTCTTTGATATATATACTATGGATATAGCTAACCAAGCTAATAATTGCATAGTCCACCAATTCGCTGATGATACACAAATATACAATCATTTCAAAGAACACAAAGTACGTCAGGCATGTTTGAATATCAACAACACAATAATGTTAATGATGAATTGAACATCGTCATCAACGAAAATTGAATCATTAGTCGGAATCCATTGGAGAGACCCAGAATTCTCAACGTGGAATTGTCATGATCAATAACACTGGATTATTACTGGCTTCAATCCATAAACTAGCGAATAGCATCTGGCATACCTACCTCATCTTGAATTTTTCCATCTCGTAAAATGTGAGAGACTATTAGGCATTCCAGAACCCGTGACCTAAAAATGGCCGCTGTACCTGCCCCGTTTCCGTCCGTACTTCAAACGTCAAAAATTCACTTCCTCTTCCCCTAAATTTCGAGTTTTGAGGTTATGATCGTCACTGATTTTGTTTTGATTTTTTGATATTGTAGTTTTTATCATGAATAAAGTGAATATTTATTGAAATTAGAAATTTCTGGTGGTCATAATATAAAGCGATACAAAGAGAAACTCAAAGTCAGTGATTCTATTGATCCCTATTCTCTGCAGAATAATGGAAACCCAGGCTCCGATGTTTCCTGGAGTCACTTCAATAGATTATCCTAGTTTTTATACTGCAGAGCAAACGAAAGCTCATGAAAGTTTGAGTGGGTATACATTTTCTGAGGCATGTTTTGTACAAATACCTATGTGGAGTGAAGAAAATCAGTGGCATATGTTTGTTGTTCTAGGCAGTCATACTATGAGTGGATAATTGGATAGTACCTGTTAAATATTCGATATTTTTGTAGGTGAAACATTTTCAAATGATGATTTTACTCTCACTAGAAGTCTGGGTATTGTGTAAAAGTGATCAAGGAATAAATAGAGAGCCATTACACCTGATTGGCTGGGCTGTCAGAAGTTTGTAGTCATTTTGTTGCTTGTCTCTATAGCTTAACATGTATTCACGACTGCAGAATCGCCAAGTCAAGTACCCATTTTCAGGCAAAATGGATGAAACCTAAACCTTCTAATGTTCCTCTTGCCAGTCTTGAAAATCTGAGAGAAAATCACACTAAAGTTAGAACATATTCAACCTATAGAAGGCAACAGCTCTCAGAAATATTGTAATCTTCAAGAGAAATTGACCTAGCAAATATCTGATATCCCTGCCATGCATAAGCAATTAATCATATCAATTCCTCAATAATTTTCACACAAAACAGGCATATTATAGTGAGTGTAGGTACTTTCCTCCTTTGATACCCTTTTACTTACAAGGCCAACACCAATGCATATCACTGATTCCCTCCACTTTACCTATTTGTGCAAATCCTGTTTGAAAAATTTGTATCACTCTTGTAAGCTCTGATCTGCAAGGATTTAAACTATCATGATTCAACTCTAAATATCTAAAAATGTATACTGACTATAGTAACTCCAGAAAATATTTTGATGTTAGCATAGATTCTTGCTCTGCAATATCACTACTGGAAATTTATGTCAAAAATATTCACTTTATTCTTAACTACTAGACAAATATGAAAATTAACAAATAAGATATTGACACAATTCCCCCAAATATCTACACTATTGATGAAATCAATTATTCTTCAATTAAAAATTAAGCTATATTATAAATAGTTTCTTTCAACCTTATAATTCATTAAAACACTACATATTCATGCTTCATGATTTTATTCATCTTAACTATAGTTTTCTCAAACACATTTCAATGTAATACCTGTAATAATAATTATATAGTCAACAGAATGTGTTTCCAGAAAGTCCACCAAGTCATTTTTGTGAATTATCTTGAACATTTTAATGTCTTGTTAAAGTTTGCTGTATTGACCAACAATTCATTGCAAAACAGATCAACCTTGTTCATCAATAATTCTTCTTGAATTTTCAATTTAGAAATTTTGACAATCATCACAGTTCAAAGTATCTATAGATATCATCATCACACAAAATACTTATTAATAATTACAAACATTTGCTATCATAATGAGTACCTATCATTCATACACAAAATATTTATCACATTAACTCAATATAAAGTAGTAATTCAGATTTTTTTAAACAATACTCATCAGTCTAATCACAAGGAATATTTTTATCAACAATTTGATTATGAATTAACATATGAATCCACTGTTCATTGATGTTTCATGAAAAGTTCGTGAAAATTGACCAACCAAAAGTGTTGGTACAAAGAAAAATGTACAACAATATAATAAATTTCAATCTTGTTCATTTGTGTTTTTGAAAAAAAAAAACTGAGTGTTTCTTCTCCTGTGTTCCCAAATATCTACTACTTATCTACTTTATTATTTAGGTGAGTTGTGAGTGAGCAAACTAGTTTTGTTCAAAATTCAAAAACAGGCATATCTATATAGCAATTTTGCAAATGTAATCTTATCATTATTTACTCTGAAATGGTGACTTCAACATAAAATATTGTATCTTTTTTTTTAAATCATGATTAGCAGTTTGAATTCACTATTTTCTCCAGGCTGAAAATAAAAAAAAAATAAGCCAATCCTGTCAATTTGAAATGTGGTGATTTTTTTGCACATAGAGGTTTGGAAGCATGAGGAACAATATGAAGTTAGTTTTTATGCCAAAATATTCCTGATATGATTTCATAAAAATCAAGATATTGAGGGGCCAGTTGAGGGATATAGAGGAAGGGGCTTTCAAAGTGAGATATGCTGTATATATTTGGTTCCTACTTATCAAAGATTTGTCTATATTGCATAACAACTCTATCACTATATATCTCCATCAATCAAGATCGAACATAATATATTCAGTCCAATTGAACAATTGGGGGACATTTGTTGATATTTGTACAGCAAATTGTAATGATTTTGTGGAGAGTTGGATCATCATCATTGGGTCATTAGATAATAAATGTAGTATCCATGAAACCTTGAATTCTAAAATGTTAAAACAAGTTTTTGAAACAGCTGGTCATGCAATTCTCAATTTAATCAATACATCGCTTCAGAATGGTCAATTGCCGGAATTATTAAAAATAAGTACCCTCATACCTATACCTAAAGTTACAAACACTATAAAAGCAAGTGAATTTAGACCTATAAATACCTTACCGCCAATAGAGAAGGTTCTAGAAATAGCAGTATACAATCAATTACTAGAGTTTATAGACGAGAATCAAATTATGTTTATCAATCAATCTGGTTTTAGAAAGAAACATTCTTGTGAAACATCGCTACAATTATCGCTAACTAAATTTACTAATGAAACAGATAAAGGTAAATATGTTGTAGCTGTTTTTTTAGATTTAAAAAGGGCATTTGAAACGATTGATAGAAGTATACTGCTTCGGAAGCTGAGAAGGTATGGGATTGAGGGGAGGGTGTATGAATGGTTAAGTGATTATTTATCAAATAGGAAACAGAGAGTACGTGTTAATGATTATTTCTCATCATATACAATGAATCATACAGGAGTACCACAAGGTAGTGTACTTGGCCCCCTCTTATTCATTTTATATCTGAATGATATTCAATTATTTACAGATTGTGAGTTCATAAACTTATTTGCAGATGACACATTATTGGCATGTACTGGAGTAAATTTAGAAGAAACTGTCCTCAAAATGAATACAGCATTAGCAATGGTCGAAAAATACCTGAAGATCAATAAAATGAAACTAAACGTTGGAAAAACTAAAGCAATGATAATTACTACTAAATTCAAATATAATCAAATAAACACAAACAACATAAATATAAAAATGGAAAATGAACGTATAGAAATAGTAACATCAGTGAAGTATTTGGGGTTTCAACTTGATAATTGCTTAACTTTTGACGACCACTTTAAGTATATTGAAAAAAAGATTGCAAAAAAATTATATTTTTTCTCGAGAATCGCCTGTAACTTATCAACAGATACAAAAATTTTGGTATTTAAATCAATAATCCAACCCCATTTTGACTATTGTGCATCTATTTTATTCTCTTTTAATTTGAACAAAGTGCAACAAATGCAAAAACTACAAAATCGGGGAATGAGAATAATTTTAAAATGTAACAGGTATACACCAATTTCTACCATGCTATCTGCTCTACAATGGCTCTCAGTATCCCAAAGATTACTCTATTGTTCTATGGTGTTCATCTATAAAATATTAAATAAAATGACCCCACCATACTTGTTATCATTGATAACTTTCAATAAAGACATTCATCACCATTCAACCAGACACAACAGTCACATTCATATAAATAGAACAAATACAAGAAGTAGTATGTGCAATTTATTCTTCAAAGGTTTTGTCCTATTCAATAAATTGCCTGATTCAATTAAATCTTCTCCATCATTGAATGTTTTTAAGAATGAACTTTTGAAACATATCCAGGAACGACATTGAATATTTCTTTTGTCCAGTTTAAACACTATATGCATATATATATTGATATTTGTATTATTAGTATAAATTTAGTTTATTGTACTAGATGTAAGTTAGCTAACCTGTATATTAGGGAATCCTATTTCAAATTCTAAATAAAAAATAAAATAAAAATCACCACATTATAAGTGAAATTGGCATGTTGATCAGCTAATATCCTGTACTTCTGTTTCATTGCACCAATAATTCACTCCCCATGAATTCTCACATTGGCATCAGTAGCTCTAGTTCCCACAATCTCAGTAGGATGTAATTGTTTCTTTCCTTTTGTAAAAGCTTGAATCTTCACTTGGGCATTCAAAATTTGTACATAGTCAGCAACCAAAAAGCCATGGTCACCTAAAATCAAATCACCTACAAATTGAATTTGTATTAATTGAAAGTTGGATAGATACTGTTTGAAATTCAGATGTTCAGGAAGATTGTTAGAACAATAGACATACATAAATAGATTGAAAGTCAAGACAAGTGAAACATTTTCAACAGTGCATGCTGTTTAATTAAATTAGTTTTTCCATACATATAAAAGATTTCTAGCTTCTAGTCAATAAAACTAATTTAAAAAGTTTATTCTCTTTCAGTAATTCTGGATTCAATAAAGATTGGTATCAATTATATTCAACTGATCTTGTACAGAAACTCACCTGGAATAATATTATCTATTAATTTTGAATTGATTGTTATGGGATAATCAGATGCTCTTTCTCCACAAGCCTCACTGATCAAACACACTGTTTCTTGTGGGGAGAATCCTATCAAATTATAATTAGATCAGCACTAGGCTGACAGCTGTGATATTTGTTTGTGAATATTTATCACATTCAGGAACTATACTAAGGTTCTCATCTTGAAAATCTGATGATCCTACAGCCTGTTCATTAGATGGCCCTGCGGCCTGTTTGAAATCAGATGGTCCTGCAGCCTCAGCTTGGCATTCTGATGTTTCCATATCATTGATAGTTTCCTTAGATTGGTGGTCAAAAATAAACTGGGAGCCCAGTTAGGATTATTAACATCTGATAGATATGCAGGTTTCCCTAAAATTTCCATTATACCTATTATATTTACTACTATTCATTAATCATTACCTGTTTCAGTGAACTCACCAAGTAGGTAGGAAATGCAAACTCTCAACATTTTGAGTTTCTGCTCCATCAAACCATTTCTATTTATCCACTTGTCTCTTCTTTTGATAATTCATTGTTCCAATTTATGTCTAAATTTCAAGACACTCAGGATTCGATGAAAATTCATGCTATCACGATATTACCGACTCTTACAATTGATTATTCCACAATAAAACATTGTTATAACACAAACACCAAGCAAAACCTATCCAGATAGTGTCCAGAATACACCACAGGAATACACATCAACTATTCAATAATTTTCATAAAGATGATGCAATCCTAATAAAACCAAGTATATAAAGTTCAATTATCAACTAAAGAAGCGAAGAAAGCAGCATTTAACACATTTTAAATTCAATTGAAAATATGGTTAAAAAAGTCACGGAATGACAGCTATTTGTTTGGGTACAGCAACCATCTTGAATCTGATTTTGACAGCATTCCGAAATACCTAATATCAGCACATTATATATATATATATATATATATACTACCAGATATAAAGAAAGAATCATCGGCAAGATTCAAATCTTTTATATAATGCCATGTATCCACTTTAATCGGACACGAAGGCAATTACAGTATTGCAACATCATCAACACTGAGTGGTCTGATCCCTTTGGTCGAATAGTTAGAGTAACACATCCTTGATTAGATGTCGTTTGCATATCACCCAATCCATTAATTTCTACAACAGAGTTACTCTTTGGTAAGCCTAATCGATTAACTAACCCTTGCGTTATAAAGGAAGTCATACTACCTGAATCTAATAAACAACGACAATGTCGATAATTACCCAAGCTATCAAGTATTTTGACTTTAAAGGCTGTATAACACCTGTTAAATTTGATGACAAATATGTTAACAAAAATGATGACAAACATATTTTTCATGTGTCATACAGTGAAAACGGTGTTGATATTGCGCAGATTTGCAAACATTCTTGTAAAAATATAGGACTGGTTCTAAATATTTTGATATTATAAATATATATATAGCCTCTAACGGTAGACAATAAAATATCATTATTCTCAGATACCCCAGCAGCTATATGCAACGAAAGCGGTTTATTTAGTATCCGAAATTGAATTATGTGAAGAATGAGTACCTTCAGTACTACGAATACCCGAAGTCGATGCCTCCACCCTGGTATCTTTCACAGCTGACGTAGTGTCAATATGTAACAAAGTATTGAGCCACAAACAAGAACCAGTTGATTTACAAGATTTCGAATCATGCATGTGATTCAAACAATTGAAACATAGATGAGAATTGAGATTGTTTGCAAAACCCATGTTTTTCTATGGGACTTCTATTCAAAAACTACTGACAGGTATAAAGCTAGTGACTTCCATACATAATCGGCATTTGGAATTTTACGAATTATTTTCATTAACTACGGAAGAATTCGTTTTTTTGGTATTGGGTATATTATTATCACTATTATGCGATCGAGAATTGTTCATTCTGGGTTTTGACTGATATTGTGATGAAAGCGCGATATAATGCAATACAATGCCTATTTTAAAAATTGAATAATGAATCATATGTGGGCACGTCACGTCAGTAAAACCGTGCTCCATTTCAAATTTGGTTAACACCGGGAACATCATGTTTTTCAATGCAGCCAGAAGTTTTCAGAAAACTGCAATAATCTACGCAAAGCACTAGGATTTTCTGAAGGAATTTTGTATTGTATTGTCTATCTGTGACCAATGCGCTTGTGCCCTTAATCTTTCATTCGAATACCGTGTCAAAAGCGTATCGTAAGCAGTCTGATAATTTGCTGTATTCAACAGCAATGTTCGAACCAGAAATTATATATTCTTCCAGAATCGAAACAGAAAATTGTAATAATGAGAAAAATGTCAGAAGGGCCTAATCCGGCTCGAAGGACCATGTAAAATCTCAAAAAAATGGGGTTGTATTGAAAATCAGCCACATTTTGACCTAACAAATAAGTCTATTACTTTTTTTTTGTAAAATTTGTATATCGCTACTTCAAAGTTGGGAACCAACTCCCTAGAAGTCGAAACTTGTGCGGGGTTAGGAAGAGCGAGACCTACAGCTTATAGCGGAATCCGACACAACTCTAGGGCATCGAGGTACTGCCAGGATTACAATCATGAATCACGCATTCCAAAGAAAAATACTCAGCCGATAACCGGATTCGAACCGACAGTACCTTCTCATCGTGAACGGCTATGAATTTCAGTGCATAGACAAACTAGGCCACGGCGCCTATCTTGAAAATTGTTTTTCTTAGGGTGGTGATTACCCCCATTACATTCCCCCCATATCGACGCCCTTGCTGTTGCTGATGACTAACGCTAGGCAAACAAAATTCTATCTTTAAAAAAAAATGCCCCACTATCGAAAATACCCTGTATAATTATAAGTTTCTGCTATATCGTCGTTTGGTGGTAGGGGTGGTATCCATAATGCTCCGGTTCTCGAGATATCATGGTACAGTAGTGGATATGATTGAGTTGGAGAGTGGGCGGTCGTGATTTTTGACTCTTTATTTCCATAAAATGCCCTTCTCTGCACAAAATTTCACCGTTCTTAGTTTTCTCAGAGTATTAAATCAAGCATCAAAGTATCATAATTTGTTACAGGTTCAGGTTACCCCAATAAACCTTGCTGGTGGTCAGCCAAATGCACCTTCCTTCCAGCATCTCTATCTGACGAAGAAGACGAATCACAAGCGTCAAAACGAGCTCATTCCTTACAACGACTGTTTCTACAAGCACATGTACGAATACAAGTACATCGCCCTTCTGGACATTGACGAGGTGATAATGCCCTTGGAAGGGACGACGTGGAAGGAGCTGATGCAGAAGGTGCTTCCGAAAGCGCTGAAAATCAACAAGGAAGAACGGGCTTCGTACAACGTGCGAAATGTTTATTTCTTGGACGATTTGATTCACAACCATGGATGGTTCAAAGAGATACCAAGGTGAGCTTTACTATTATGTTCCGAACTGTAGCATTTCATGTTTTCTTTGGTAATCTGCCGAACATCACGGTGAATCATCAGATGACATTTTTTTCAATGTAGATTATACGTCAGTTGATAACTAATTTGACGTCGTGAGGTTACGTATTCGTGAAGTCAGAAGTGAATAACTTACTCACCTAAATTGTTACTTGTTTCTATCACGTAACTTTTAAGCAATTATCAAAGCGATCCCTACGTAATCTTCATTATTACTTCATTGTTCACTCTGTCTATACTATATCGGTCAATAATGAATACTTCCGGCGTAAACGTAGATGCTTCTTGTGGTTATGTTTTCATAAGTCATAAGTCATTACGATGTTCTGAATATTCGAGATAGTTCTGTTGCTCCATTGTTCATGAAAATCTGTACGGCAACACAGTTGAGTTAACAATGAAAGACAGAATTATGAGAAGATATTCAGAACAGAGTGGTATTTGGTAGATTATTTCACGTTCACGAAGCATAGGAAGCATTTATTATAAATGAGTGATTCATTCTGACAAGTACAGCCATCATTATTGTATGCCAAACTGACTGCTTTGCAATCCATGGTTACATTCAGACTTTGATTTGTTATCCAAGGTTACATCGTTGAAAATATGAACGCTGTCAGACTAATCAGAATTGATAAAGACAGCTCTTGTTTCCGCGATAAGCACACGTTGTCTCTGGCTTGTGATTGGTCAGATTATGTGATGATTGAAATAGTCATGACATACCCAACCAACTGTATCCTGTTGAAAACATTAAAATCGTCTGAACCTTGACAAGATATAAAAATCAACACTCCCCATATCTACAGTGTGATCTATATAGTTCGTAATGACATGTTGGGAAATAGTCTATTAGATATTAGAGTAGCGAAAATGTTTTTCTCGGAGATCTATTATTTTGCATGTCCGATAGCAAAAAATCGATCTTGACACATTCCATGTGATCACTGGTATGACGTTAAATTGAAAAAAGGACAGAAAAGGTGAGGTTAATGCATCAAGAAATTTATTTCGAAAATGTTGGTCAGAATTCAATTTTATACTAACATTTATATTTCCAATCAATTATAAATAATTCGAAATTTCATCTATGTTGACAGGTTATAAAATGTCACTTTTCATTAATCACTTTTTTCCTCAATATATATCAAATATATATATACACTGTTGATTTTTGTTGTGGTTTAGTTCCGAAAAATAAGCCAATAATCTCCAAGAAAGAACTGCAAGTTGTTTCATCTTTCATTCTACTTCGCGGTTATATAAGCTACTAAACAACCACTAAATTCTCAATTTATTGAAATCAAATCACAATATTAGAATAACAGATATTTAATTACTTTAAAAGAATGATAAAGATGCATGCAAAACGATGCCTGCAACGCAGGTGTTCCTGTTAAAAACTTCAAATTTCACGGCGATAATTTTTTGATTTCAATATAATGTAATATCTTCTCAATATTGATTCGTCCTTTTTCCTTTCACAGAAAATAATAGTGTATTAAACACGAGAAAAACATTAGATTATGGCCAACGGTTTCTTGTCATTCTCCAGTACACGTCGGGAGACAACACAACCTGTAGATAAAATGTACTACTTTTTTCCCTTGTATAATAAATAACTATCTTTCGAATATTTTTCGATCTCGTTACAGTTATCTTTTTTTTTTCACTTGAATAGGTTGACAGTAGTGATACACTTGACTTTCGATGAAAATAGAACAATCTCGTTTTCTTCAGAATAAATATATTTCAGATAGTGTAATAGTGTATTGAAATTCAAGACGCTTATGGTTTTCAAGTTCAATTTCGAAGTGCGATATTCATTCACAATTATTATCAGTTGAACTTGATGCATCCGATATTTTTTAAGTGGTATATCTTCACAATAGTGGCCACATTCTGATATATGTCAGATACTAACCAACCAATGCCTTGTATCTCAATTTTCACTGAAAATGTATTCATTACACAAACTTTTGATAAACATTCGTATCTCCAATTGTTATTCAATAGCTCCTATGTTGAAGAATAATATTTACTCCTTCAAATTGACTTCAATGGATACCTCGGATATGAGTTAATAACAAAATAGCTAGATTTCATCAAGTTTTCTTCATCTGTAAAATTCTGTAAAATTGCTGTTTCGGAGATAAGAGGTATTGTTTCTTAAATGTCCAGCGATGGTCCTGGCAAAATAATTATTTATTATACAAGGGAAAAAATTATTAGATTTTAGCTCGTGGATGTGGTTCCTTCCGACGCGTAGCGTCTGTGGCAGGAAATAGGACAAATCAATATTTAGAAGATATCACTCACCTGAAATATGAAGTTTTTAACTGGAATGGCACCTGCGTCGGAGGCATATCTTTTTGCAGGAATCTTTATCATTCTTTTGAAGTTATCAAATATCTGTCAGTCTAATCTGTGATTTGATTGGTGGTTATTGTTTCGTAATTTACGTACCGTGAAGTGTAATATATATGCAGGGTGAGTCATTGAAATGGGAAGTATAGTGGAGAGGCTACAGCCAGGCAAGTATGCCCTCATGGGACCTTTCTGCCAACCCCTGCTCTCCACATATCTACATATCCTCCTTCTAGTTGTTCTTTCTGAACCTCCCTGGCCTTCTAATGAGGGTCAGGATGTCCATCCACTCTAATTCGACCAAATCCTCCTGTTGTAGTTTATCCACTCCGAATATTTCGAATATCATCCTTCCAAACGCCTCACACTCTCCGAGGAAGTTAGATGACGTCTCCTCATCTTCTCCGCATTTGCGGCAGGTGGGACTTTCTTTTATACCTATGAGTGATAGGTGTCTGCGCAACCTGATGTTGTGCCTGGTCAGTATCCTTATAAGAAGAAGACAATCGGTAATAGATAGCGTTTCAATTGAGGTTGAAGGACAAAGGATCCAGTACTGTGAAAATATTGAATTTCATAACCATGCAAGCAACCTCATCAAAAGATCATATTTTATAATGAAGGGTCTCTATTCCAATAGACATTTTTGGGAAGAAATTTGAGAAGTACTCTGTACTCATTGTGACATCCTCTATGGCCCATTTCTCGACGGGATACAGTCGGTGAGAATTCAGAAAGTTCATTTTTGGGTTGAAGTTCAGGGACCACGTCACACCTTTTATTAATGAACTATACATTGGTTGAAAATGCACAATAGCAGAGAACTTCGTCATGCCTGCTTTTCACATAACCTCTTCAGAAAAAAAATACCAACTTACCTCATTGAAAAACTCCAACATAGACAAGAAGCACATCAGAGACACCCGATATACTGATAATTTGTCAATTCCTCAGCACCGGACCGTTTTCTTTGAACGATCTTTCTCCTACCATTCCGTCGTTCTGTACAATTCTATCTGTCAAAACATAAAGAGTGTATGTCTTACAAATTTCAAACGTAAACTTAAGCAACATTTCCTGGATGAACAGCGATAGACTCATCAATTCTCTACTTTTCTGCTTTTTTTTTGTATTACAGATCTTTCTGTATTATTAGCATCATCATTATTATTATGGTTATTATTATTATGATCATTTTTGTTATGATTACTATCAATATCATTATTGATTTTACATTTATATCATCATTATTAATATTATTATTATTATCGTTTTATCATTGTAAACTCACATGACATTGTTATGTGGAAAAATAGCTATGAGCTAACATTCGCCAAGAAAAATAATGTCCATTTCTTATTATTATTATTATAAGAAGGCGCAAAACTTGGCGATTCCTGCCAAGTAACCAACCCTTTGACTTATTTGACCAGCCCCAGGTCTGTCGACTGCCTGCAGCCGCCTATACGCCTCCAGTATCCTTCTAGTGCCTCGTCTGCCCATTTGTTAAGGGCGTACGAAATTTGGCTTCTTGTTATGCCCAGTGCAGGCTATGGTCCCCAGAACGGTGTTGCGGATCCGATTCTAGCCAGCTCGTCGGCCACCTCGTTCCCGGGCACCCCCCTGTGACCCGGGACCCATACTAGTTCGACTTCCTTTTGTTCAGCTAGTTTCTCAAGGGCATCGTTGCATTTCTGCATCAAAACTGTGCTTGGTTTGGGATGGCAGATAGCCTTGAGCGCCGCCTGACGAGCAGATGTGAATCTTCTGCTCCGGTCCATCTTTCACCTCTTGTCTGTCTGCTACGGCCAAAATGGCAAATACTTCAGCCTGGTAAACTGAGGTGTATTTCTCAAGAGCGTAGCTCTTCCTTATACTTATTCCTTCTACGTAAATTTCTGCACCTGAGTCCTGTTTGTCAATTATACGCGATCCGTCCGTATAACATACTAGAATCCCTGGCCGGAATTTCACTGTTCTCTTCCCATTGTCCCCTGCTTGGAATAGTGAGGGTGGACCTTCTATTCCATCTCAGCCTATTTTGGAATGGGAAAGTGGGATAACGGCTTCGCTGTTTGAGATAGATGAATAAAAAATTTTGTGATGGCCCAGGCTCATGAGCAGCACATTTCTAGAATATTTCGCTTGTACAGGGTGACTCAAAAATGCGCGGCGTATCGAAGTTATACTTTTTCTTATGGGACACCTTGTATTTCATTGCATTTTCGGATTCTTCTTTGTGAGCTGATTTCATCAATGTATCATCACACTTAGGGTCTAGCCGAAATGATTATAGGGTGTTCAAAATCGAGATTTTCTTAACTTTAGGATTTTTTGTGTCGAAACGGTCGAAATTGGTCAAAACGACTTACATGTTCCCATCTCAACTTTTGATTTACTATCTACAGATATTTGATTTGAACGAATACAGGGTAGGTTCATAATTCTGTATAACTTTGATACGCCACGCATTTTTGAGTCACTTTATATAACGCAGAATATTTTAGAAATGTGCTGCTCATGAGCTTAGACTAGACAAGAAAATGTTTTATACATCTACCTCAAACAGCGAAGCCGTTATCTCACTTTCCTATTCCAATGACTCACCCTGTATATATAAAAATATTTTTTGGCCTTCGATAACGATGTAAAATTGCCATATAATAACTCTGATGGCAGATATTTCATAAATATTTAATCGTTTGCTGAAATTCGGCAGCGTTGTTTCTCTACTGAAACTATTCAAGATGCTATTATGAAGAAAAAAACAGATCCGGACTTGAGAAAGTTCATTTTGTGATCACTTTCCTCGAAAAATGTCATCAGATTCGAAAAGAGCAGGAAAAATGCCATAAGAACTGCTCCTCAATTTGCACGGCACACTTTGACCGGTTCAATAAAGAAATATGAAACAATATGAATTAAGAATTATCAGCCAGGTCGAAATTGTTCCATATTTATTTATTGATTCGGTCAAAGTGTGCCGTGAGTCTCCTCATGAATCACCCTGTATGTATCTCACTTTTTTCTTGTGGGAAAAAAGTTATTGATGAAGTGACATTTTGTAACTTGTCAACAGAGATGAAATGTAGAACTTTCTTCCCGTCACAGAAATAAACCAATTTTTCAATATTTCATTCCATCTGGTGTCAAGAAAACGGAATTGTTTTCTCACTACCCGAAATACAATAAGTGTAGGTACTACTATACTACTGTTAACCCTATCCAGGAAATCAGTGGAAAATAATTAGGTAATAATTGTAAAAAGATTCATATTATGAAGGATGAGGTCTGCATTGAATAGGAATATCCGTTTTGGTTTTTGATAGAATGTACACCTATGGAATGTTAACAAGCATTTCTATATCTCTCATGAGCACTATTTGTCCTGAGGTGGATAAAATTGATTTTGATTTCTAGTTTTGTATTTGTGGGTTTCGCTTACTTTCTGAATATTGGTGTTACTTTTCTGTTGATTTTTTTGTATCTTATATGTTCTATTTGTACTATTTGATCTGATGACAACATTCCTGTTTTATTTGTATATTATTTCTGTATCTGTATGTGTTCTACAGTTGTATCCATTCATAATAGATCCTCGTGATGAAATTCGTATCGATAATCTGATAATAAATTTGTTCCCCATATGTTACGGACTTGATAGATGACAATGGTATTTTGAGCAATAACATTCTTGACCATCATCTATGAACTGATAAGTATATAGTTCTAATTTTTTGCAGATACATGCATATGATGCAGCACGTCTACCGCACAAAAAACTTCACGAAACCCGGCCAATACGTGAAGTGTTTCCACAATACGGAAAAAGTCCTCACCCTCCACAATCACTTTCCCCTCAGTTGTCTGGGTAGCGGTTGCACTAGCTACCCAATCGAAACGACTGACGCTCAATTGCACCATTACCGAGCAGACTGTGTGAAAACGCTCAAAAAAAGCTGTGAAGACTTCAGAAAAACCAGTGTCATGGACACGACGATTTGGAAGTTCAAGGATCCCCTCGTTTCGAGAGTATCAGCGACGCTGAAAACTTTGGGGTACTTTGCGAATAGTGAGAGTACTACGAACTCGAATGTGCGAAAAAGATGATAGTGATAAACTGTGATTCTTGTTGTTTTCATCCAAAGATTTGAACGCTTTTCATAAGACTAAATAGTGCAACGGTGAGGTCCTACAAAAACAGAATAGTATATTACGTACAAATGGAAAAATTACGCTAATTAAATGAGTGTGTAAAAGGCTTACAAGACGCGATACGTACTATACTTTTTCTACGACTCTTAGATACCGGGTGGTGCGTTTGTTTAAGCCTGAAGTAATAGAAAAACGAAGGTACCTAACTACCTGACGTAGTTTATGGTTCAACTTTCAACAACAAACTAAAGAAAATATAAGAATTCATACTATACAATGGTGAAATATATACTTAGGGAAATTTTAGAAATTACTGAATTCCGAGTCTGTTCATGAAAATATTTGTAACTGCTTCATAACTGAGAAATGAAGAATGTTAGTAGAAAACTACGTACATGTTGTGCTCATATTAAACATTCTGGAAAATGTTTGGAATCGTCCTAGGATCCCAGCTTCTCAGTGAGTTCAGAAACGAGCAAAAGTTGTATTTCTGCGAATGAAAAAATTCTTTTGGAATACATTCCTTCATATGCAGGCAAATATTTTTCATTAATGGATAAGTTGTCACATTGAATGAGGCACACCGGGTAAATTTTTTAAGTTGAAAGTGAAATACCTATCCTGTATCCAGCTCAAATAAGGAAATATTTTTTCTCGTAGGACTTCTCCGTTGCTACCAAAGCTTTAAATTAGTAATCAAACAACAGTGATATCAGCAAACTCCTTCCTTCACGTAAAAACGAATCAATAAGTATAAAATGCTATCTGCCTTTTGAATATATGAAGGTTTGATGAAGTAAACAAAATAATGTGTATATTAATTTCTTCATCTAGGCAAGAACACAAATGCGTGAAGCCATTGAAAATGTGCATATAACTGAAATATAGTAGTAACATGACATTAATGCATCAATTTTTTATAAAATATGCTGTGATACTTCAAAAAACACCATTTGAGTACCCTACAATAATTACAAGAAATGTATACAAACATAATGTTCCGCGACTAACTCGTCTATCCTGCAGTACTGGCCTTATAATCAGTTTTTCTATGTTGCTAGTTCTTTCATTTCCAGGAAATATCGAGTGAATATATCACAATTTTTGAATCGATGCAAATGTGCATTGTCGAGAAGATTTGCTATTCATTAATGTAGTAAATGTCACTAATATAAGTTTCCCCCTATCGCCAATTCTACAAAGTTTATAGCTGACTTGATCACGTGTTAGGTTCAATCAGTATAGTGCCAAATTTTGTTTTAATCTTCAATCACACGTATATACCAAAGTTTATAAAATCTAACTGAACGATTTTGGTATACTTGCCATTTTAACCTCAAATTCTGATGACACCAGTTCATCCATGATATTGTTGAAATCAGTTAAATCTTGAGAGCGATGAATGTTGAAATTTCCAAACAAGTTGAAGAATCGGTTCAGCTCATTGAATAATGTATTATCGATTTTTCTCGACTTACTGATAGACGCGTCGGTGCATTATAATACCCGCCATGTCAGTACCGTTAACGATTTATTGTCGTGTTCTTATGGAAACATTTATTTGGGAAATCTAGAAGGAATACATAATTCAAAAATATTCTGTGTGCCTTTTCTAATTGTGATGAACGTCATAGTATTCTTCCTAGAAATTAGTGTTCTTGCCTATCATGTTCTGATAAGCTCTTTTATACTCATTGTTAGATATATCTGTTGACATGTTGTGCGTAACGTGGCTCTCTAACAAGAAACCTCTGGACAAATCAGCATTTGATAAAACAGAGCTGCGACAAATGTATTCGAGGTTCTTACATAATGCAAATACTAAAGGTATGACATGAAACGTAAGCATAGCCGTTTCCATAAAATTGTCACAAGCAAAACCCATCAAAATTAGCTAAACGAAGTTTTTTTCGACTAAATATATAGGTACCTTCTGCTGTTTGAAAGTATATAACCCACCACTAACATATTCTGATAAGATAATATGTAATTGTGTTATCTCAATAAAAATATGTTGAGTTCTTTCTGCAGTCTTTTGCCATGTTTAAGGGTTATGCTTATGCTCCACGTGTTTGCATTGTGTAAGAACCTTCAATTGTCGTGAATAAAGACGGGTTTCCATTAGGCGGAAAATCCGAAGCGGATTTAAAAATCAACTAAAAAAATACGCGAAGGTTTCCATTGCCAGCTTCATTTCAGCAACAATTTCTTGGGATTTTTTCTGCTACCTAAAAATAATTTGTCATCATCCACAGTTGGTAGCAGTAGTATAACCTCAAAATATGGTTATTATCTCTATTATCATCATTATTATATGTTGGACTGGATACTTTAATTAATGAAATTCAGAATCAAAACCCCAGAAATAAGATATTAAAATCATGCAAGAAGAGGTATGAATAGTTATTGAATACCTACTCATATTTATTTCGGATTTCATTGATACAGAGTACTTCTCATATCTTATCATATAGGGAGAAGAGACTGTGCTACAAATCAATGATGACGAACAGCTTTTAACTCAAAAACTAAGTTCGATTTCGAGGTTATTAAATCATAATCATATTTTGAGGTTATAAATCTAGTAAAATCCGCAAAAAGTTGGAACTATGTCAACTTATTTGCATATCCGCAAAAAAATTGGCGGCAAAATCTTTCAGTTTCAAGCCATCCAATAGAATTGTGACACTGAAAATCCGCTTCGGATTTTCCGCCTAGTGGAAACCCGCCTTGAGAATGCCTCGCGATAGCTCAATACGATCAAGATAACCCGATTCTCATATGTGACTTTCTATATCGTCTGAAGTGATCGTCCTAAACTAACCTTCGAGAAGCGTAATTTTGTCTGGAGATGTTTTGTTACAGAGCCAGGTAAAGTAGTACTGCACTGTGTTTATATCCCAGCAAATTGTTGTAACTAATACATTGAAGACTGCATTAGATAGGTACTCATCCCTGTGTACACAGTATGACCTACTTGAAAACGGAACATCTCCCCTAAACTTGTTCATTTCTATCGTCCGATATGTTTTATTTGGGAGGCATATAGAAATCACTATGGTTCAAAATTCTTGGGTGACTGTATAAAAAAAATATATGAATATTATGTAAAAAAGTGATATATCTTATGTATGTAATAGGTATTTGTACTGGCCCATATGAGTTATTTTTCATTTGAATCCCATGTTGGCGCTTATGTTTTCCGTAGAACTTTCGCCCATTTATATATTTTTTTTATTATCAGCATCATCACGCAGTATTTTTCGTATGAAAATAGTGTCGCTTCATCCTCAAGTGAAGTTTTAGGCCCCTAAATCAAATAGAGAATCTAAAAATAATAGAAATTCTAGGGGTGCGTCTTGCTTTCAAATGGGTCACACTGTAGAAGGAACTGGTAACAGGGAACTCCTTTTCACTGCAAACATAAAAACTTGTGAGATTAATGGGAAATAAATAACATATATGTAGTAATGTGATTGAATGTTTTGCCACTAGAGTACTCCAAAATCGTGGCGAAAGTCCTGCTGAGAAAATTATAATTTTTAGTTGTCTTTGATCAGAATTTTTTTTTCATTATTGTGTATTGAGAGTCGCCAGATAAAAGCGTTCTAAACTGTGTTTTGCTCAAACTGCTCAAACCATCATAGTGTCTTGGACTAGAATGAACGATTACATTTTTTCCCACTACTAGTCGCATGTTAAACTTTAATTCTACTTCAAAATATGAGGGTGGTCACACTTGAAGTTTTATAAATGTGAAATATCCCATATAGATTATCTAATATACAGTATGTCCAAGATAAGGATGTCTATTATTCTGTCTATTCAAAAGTGGCATTGAGTAAGTGTATTATTTTTCTATATCTCTTTAAATGACTTCAGAAAAAAATAAAAACGATCTCCAGGATGGACATCCTCATCTTGGACACAATGTATATCTTTGAAATATCTCTCATTCCATTATATTCTGATGAAAATTGAAAAAAACGAAATATATACTTGTCTGATGCAATTCAATGAAAAATTCGTTTGCGGATTGAAATCTTGCTTAGGATCTCTTGGAAATGCTAAAGATTATAATTGTCAGCAGAAAAATCACATCACTATATCTGAGCCTCCGTTGAAAATATTATTTTACCTACTACCAATATGTAATGTGAAACATTACGACAATCAAGCAGTAAGTAAGTTCTAAAATTTGAATAGCTTCATTTGAGCAATTTCTCTCAAATAGAAATGAACGCGTCAAAGTTGACAGTTCACAGAATGAGTGATAACCGAGAACACAACAGTTTCATGGTGGAAATATATGATGTGCTACTCAGGTATCTTGAATTTGTCTTTTCTGCGCATAACGTCAATGCGAGTCTATACTCGCACCAAAATGATCACGGCGACTCGTGCGAACTGATAACTGTGAGCTCAGACTGCGAGCAATTGTTTTACTCGAAGTGACGTATAAGAAGATACGACGTAGCACACCTTACTAATTCCACCATTAACAGATTCACAAGTATTATGTCCACCATTGCAACGTTTGCTTGTTACATATTGCTAATAAATTCAAGGAATATTAACTAATTTCAATTACATAATCAGCGTTTTTGGTAGTAGGTAAAAAATAATGTACTATATTTGTATCGTAAATTCATATTACGCTATTACGATAATCGATTGGTTATCAAAAGAGGCCGAAGAACTCGTTCGATATCTCTCCCGTCTCATAAGTCATATCGTAATATGACTATATCTATAATATTCATTAGTTTTATGCATGATTTTTATATTCTTGGATATTTTTCATGCGAAATCAATAGATAATTTAGTAAAGCTTTCAATGTTATGTTCCTTCTAAAAATTATTTCGAGGCAAAGTCATGTCGGAACAAGTTTTTGTCTCCAATTTTGCTCAAGTTCTCTTTGCCATTCTGTTCTCCTGAAGAGGGGACCTATACA